CTAAACTGGTTGCAAATCAAACACTAGACTGTAATGAAACTTTGACGAGAAGTACCATTTACATGCTTACCTGCATATAAAACGCTTCTCCCCTCGTGACAATGAAGCTGCTAGCTCTGTCATCGGTCTGTAAAGCGAACAGACTCGCTGCTACGATTGCCAACGAAGCTGGAAACAATAAAAATCCAATACTTTACATTTTTTTTTCACGACGATAAAATATCTCTTAACTTGATTAAATCAAAAGAAAAAAGATATTTTCTTTTCCATTTCTCAATTGAAAAAAATATTGAAGAAACAAACGTAAATGATAGTAAGTGTGTGTGTATATGTTTTTTTTTCAATTTTACGTAATTTATAATGCTTTTCTCGAGAGAGTAACGCTAAGAAATTCATTCATTGAATGCGGTCGACTGCACGATCTATGAGTTTAGCGCGTATCACTTTACGGCAACAAGATCCACCGCGGATATTCGATTCTTCGTCTAAGGGTAAGTAGGCCAGTAAGTAGACAAGTGACTAGTAATCCTACCGTGGTTGGCCTGTTGCAAAACTTTCCGACTGTGTCCTCATGCAAAACGACTTCTCCGCCTGAATTACGCTCAACAATTCTCACGTGATTCCTAGCTTTACGAGCTAACATTAACGTAATTTTGTTAAAGTTTCTGAGCGTGAATTAATATTATACCGTTAATAAAAAAAGGACGAAATAAAATAATTTATTTGTATCAAATAATAAATGATAGAACGATGTTGATAATATATTTCTATAATTTAATTTAATTCTCGAATTGTATATTTCTATTCAATTTTTTTCAACATTGTTATTTAAAATTATTTTTATATATATATATTTGTCAATTCGAGAGTAATTTAAAGTATCAAAAATCATTCGATGTTTTCAAATACTATTCAATATTTTCGATGTTATTACAATTTACTTTTGTTCCATTTGGATTACCTTTTTCCCGTTTATTCATATTCAATATATATTATAAATGGATAATATTCATTTGCTTTGTTTGTTTTCAAACAATCCTCTTTCGAAGACCAGTAGTTTCCAATTATCAATTATTTTATTGAAAACCGACTAAACGAGTTTTCTACAATAACGTGAACGTATATAAAATAATTTTATGTACAACAATCCGATTATCACATATTTAATGATCGACGGTTAATTAAAGAGAATTTCAAGTTAATCACGATTATATATCGTATGGATATAAATTAATTCTATGCCACTTTAACGAAAATCAAATTTTATTCATGGATTATGAATCATCTCCATTTTATCCAATTAAAAATGCACGAAATTGAACTTTGTGTTAAATTCAAGATTAAAATAATTTAAAATATTTGATAAGGGATGATAAATTTAAAGGGTTTAAAGAATTAAGATAGAATTAATTTATATCCTCAATTTTATGTAAATTTAAGATTGAATAATTCAAAGGTGCTAAAATGTAAAACAAAAAGGGGGAAAATTTAGATCTATCTAAATATCAAAGAGATAAATCTAAATGTAAAATCTGCATTCCCATTTCTAATGTAACCTAACATTACTCGACAATAATTTTAAAAAATTCAAATTTCAACCAAAAAGGATTAAAGATACAGGACGTTAATATATTCCTTTAAGACATCTTTGGATAATTTATTCCAAAGATCAAACCAAACGCAAAGTTTGTTCAACATCTACTTAACTTAATGAACGATCTTCAACCAATATATCTTTATTTATATTTCACCTTTTGAAATCTAAGGATTGTCTTTAAAGATATACCACGAATATATCAACATTCTGTTGATCTATAATCCTTCTAATATAAAAGATAGATAATACATTATTCAGATATTTATAAAAGGACTCGCATTAATTTGGAAGCTTGGATAAATACTCACTGGCCAAAGTGGCGAGTGCCACTTTCCCTATCAAAGCGGTGCTGTACGAGATAATAACTCGCTTTGCCGAGGAGGCCATCGCAAGTTGTAGCACGGCAAGACCCACCAGGATGGCCAAAAGGGCGGAGGCGGTCGCAGCAGCTAATCCTGCCACCCACACAGCCACTAAAAGAGAAGGAAACCTTTCACGTTTGCCTCGTCATATTAACGCGATCGATTCTTGCTTTGATAAAAAATTCTTACTGGGATAAAGGTTATTTCTTCAAGTATCTAATGCTCTTTCTTTTTTTTTCTTTTTGTGCATAATATTACAATAGTATTTTTGAAATTGAGTGGAATTGTAAAAAAAAGAATTGCGTATTAATTCGTGAATCGTCTTCTGTGATCTGTTGAAAGAGGATTTTTTATAATAAAATAAAGAATCGATAAAGAAGTAAGAATGTCGAGGTATTTACTTGTTTTAAGATATAATGTTTCAATGTTTTTTCCAAAAAATGGTAATCACGATAATTAGCAACGAAGTTGCTATTAATCTTTGAAAATTTTGCTCTAAATAATTTTTTTTTAACGAAGCTTTTAAGAAACGAGGAAAGAGAATTTTAATTGTAAAACGTTATACGTGCATTAATTATTTTTGAAGGAATTTTAATCACGAACGTACGTGACGAAATTTAAAATGAACTCACACACTGGTTGAAACCTGGAAACCCCTTGGCCGCATCTTTCTCTACCGTATAGTAACAGTTTGCACTGCCTCCATGGACCAAAATACCCTTTCTCGGCTGCTGAACCAGCTGAAATAAAAGATATAATCAAGTTAGAATTTTAATATCAAATAATTGCCTGATCTTGATGTAAATATATTGGTGTAATTTTATCGAAACACAATTTATAATAAAAAAAATTACTGCGTTATTGTATTAAATTAACGATAATTAACGAAAAAAAACTTTCATCTAAAAAAAAAAATATAAATTCCAATCAACGACTATCCCACGCACGCATCTTTTATATAATGTATACCAACACCCACGCCTTCTCTTTTCTATCGTATAACTTTTTTCTTGCAAACCAGGCAAAATGTCTAGAACATTTCCAGGTCGCGTCAGTTCCCCTAACATCTTGGGTGACCGTATTATATCTTCTTTTCAACCCTTAATCTCTGATACTCTTTCGCGCATCCCTGACCCTTCAAATTTATTTTATCCTGTAGAAAACATACATGCAAAAATATTTATACAAAATTTTATACACAAAGAATCGGAGATAGAATTCAATTTACACAATCAAATTATTTTACACGAAATTATTTTTAACGAAAAGGAACGAAACAATTTAAATTCTAACTCTAAGAAAAATATAATTTTAATTTTCCATCAACGAGAATTCACATATACGTTATTCGTATATCCATTTAAAAGAAATATCTGAAATTATTAATAGAAGAAACTTGAATTCTCTCGGTGTAAATTATCATATCAAACAAAGAGGAACATTGCACATTAATCAAACAATATCCTCTTTGATCAAAATAAAAAATCACTCAAGCATCGCAAAGATTTTCTCCTAAATCGTAGGGGGCGCAAAATATCCGGACGATCATAAATCATCTTTCAAAATCTCCAGTATTACACTTGACAAATTTTCGGCTCGATAAATCTTTTTATCGTATTAAACAGCCTATATCAGCACGCGACCACGAGATGGGAAAAAAAAGGAAATATCGCAATATTTGTTGGTGGGCGAATTTCGAAACGTTGTACGATATTTCACGCGACGAGACGTGGCTCTCGTCGGTATTATTACTTGGTTGCAAACGGTGTCAGAATTTTAAAAATTGTACGGGACAAAAGACAGATTGAACGAGGAAAATAAATGGATAATTCGTTGGTCCATCCCTCTGCTGAATATTTTATAAAGATTTTTTTTTATGAGTACGAATGAACGGTTGTACGATATCTTATAAATATTAGTAAGAATAAATTTATAAAATAATTCAATCATCGAATTGGCTTTGGTATTAAGGAACGAAAATTGGTACGAGCATTTGTTCGAAATAACAATTTCTAAAATGATGAATATACGAGCATTATATAGCATTAAATAGAAAATGTGTCTAACAATAGGAAATCCGCTTTCCCTTAATTTTATATTATTCTATTCATGCGTCGTATATTATTGAAGTCGCTGACTCTGTTAATAGACAATCGCCTGAAGATCACTAATAATTCTCAGTTTCTCAAGACACAGTAACATCAATCTTGAGAAGAAAAGATAGGAAACTTTCTCTTCATCCAGAAATCTTATAAATATTTTAAACAAATCGTATCGTATAATAAAAGTGGTACACAATCACAATCTAGGACCGATTACAAAGTAATTAAATTTAATTTATTAATTTTCCAATGATTAAATTTAACAGATAAATCTTAATTTCAGCGAATTAAGAAAATTAATAATAATAATAATAATAATAATAACATATAAAAAATATATTTTTACATTTATTTTTCTCTATATTTTTATAAAAGCACGTAGAGATTCTACAACAAGGATCATGCACTCCAAACGAGGAGTACAATATTCAATTTATCCATTCTTTCGCGAAATATCGAAATCAAAAAAGAAAAAACAAAAAAACAAAAAAAGTCTCATAAAAATCGATTGTCGCTATCATCCAATTCTTTTCACAAGGAAAGAAAAAATAAAAATATCGCGAGAATACGCTCTGAAACATCATAATTTCCGATTAGAATTTAGAAGAAAAAAAAAATCGATGACGAAATTCTAGATCAATAAATTAAAAAAAAAAAAAAAAAAA